ATTTTGTACCAATTGAAAAAGGATTCTGTAAACAATACACACTTTACAGATTTCATACAGAGAACATAAGCTCTCTCCATTAAGACTATTTGATGTGCTAAGATTTGCCTATGGGTGGGTTATGAAGCTGGTATACAAAAATTTAGAATATTTTTTGTAGAAAACAAAAATTCAAAATTTAGAACCAAACTTAAGATTGAATCTTCCATTTCTACATAAATATTTTGAATCCTGAGGACCAATCTCAGGAAACAAATGCAAAGAAGTAGCAAGCTGGTAGTTAGCTACTAACTAGGAGCCCTTTCTGCAACAAATGTATACAAGTGTGGGGAGAGTGCAAGTGACCAAGAAGAAGATTCACAGGGAACACTACTGAAACTCTCTTTTGTAAAATAAACTCAAGAGAACTATTGTACAGCAAAAAATATAGCAATTGAGTGACAGAAGAGCTGGCCTGAGGACTATCTTTATCTATAACTTCCCCTATTTTGGTCAGTTAACTAGTGTCTATCGGTAGCTTCTACTATACAACAAAGGCACATAGCATGCATTTCTCAGATTCATAAATATGGACTTGGATTCATCATTTGTAAATGATTCATTATGAGTCATGAGATAGAGGAGTATGGTCATTTTTACATATGACTACAATGATCAGAGTTCAATTCCTTCCCCTTGAAGGTAGACTAGAATTAATTATTTCATTTGTGCCACTGAAATAAGGTGAAAAATGCAATGTATGACTTCTAAAACTGAATCAGAAAAGGTGAAAAGCCTCTTTCTTTTGTGTGTTCAACACTTGAAGTAATGCTAGAAAATGATGTTTAAGGACTCAAGAAGCCTGTAGAAAGGTGCCAGTGGTGAAACCCTGAGAGGTTCGATCATAACTAAACTAGTGGGGCACCCTGGGGGTAAATCCTCAAGTTCTCATCAAAACATGGAGACTACAAGCAGGGCAGACCACATAACTGTGTTTTATGGCAGAGGTGGATCCAGAAGCCTTCTCCAAATTCAGAAATTACAAAGGATGCATTTTTATAATGCTTTTATAACGCTTTTGGGCTTTACTGAAATCTATTATGCAATGACAGATAATAAACCAGCTGCTTCCTGATGCCTGGTGCCATGTAAAATAATCACAAGAGGCCAACCTCAGCTGTGAAGTATGCTGTGGTGTAATCTGCTTTTGTCCAAAACTGAAGAGTCCATCTTTAGGTCAGACTCAATATTTATGAGTAGAACAACATACTTCTCTGCAATAAGTTAGATTATGTCACCCAAATGTATCAGATTCTAGTCTCTGGAGATTTATGGTACAGGGATCTTTGGAAATGTGGTTAATCAAAGACTTGACACCACATAATGCTAGAAGATGGTGATGTGGCCATAAGACAGGAACACCCACCCAGGATGCTGGCAGACAGGAGGAGATAGGAGAGCTAGATTACGATCTTGGACATGAGTCTTCAGCCAACACTTTGATTTAAAATTTCTGATCTCTAGGAACTTGACAGAATGCATTCCTTTCCTTTTCTTTCTTTCTTTTTTTTTTTTTTTTAACCAGCTCATTTCTGATAATGTTCTAGGGCAGCCAAGGGAAGTGGGTGCATCATCCTATGAGGTGGGAGAATGTGGGAGTCACTGCTAAGCAGTAGCCGAACAATATCTAATCAGCTTTAGCATCCATTTGGAAAGTGTGAAGTACTGTTTACTGATCCTACCAAAAGTGAATTAACAAACACAACACATAAGCAAAGGAAAACGGAAAGAATTAAATAAGAAGGTAAGGGCCAATGGGTTAAGGTACTTGTGTGCAGGCCTACAGACATGAGTCCCTGGGTTTCACACGGTACAGGTAAGAACTTGCAAGAGTTATCTCCTATTTTCCACACATGCTGCTGTAAGCACACACCTGGACTCTCTCACCTGCACATACTAAATAAACAATAGATTACCCATAAAAGTAGTTTAAGAAACTAGCATAAAAGGAGCCAAGATTAACATAATACCAAAGTAAAGAAAATGGGGAAAGGTGAGTTTTTTGGATTTCCAGGAGAAAATAAACATTGAAATATAAACTGAACATTAGTGCCTCATTAATTAATCAGATGTAAGATTTTGTAGAAAAATACACGTAAGGCAAAATAATTAAATGATAAATACACTGAAAAAGTGATAGGGAAGGTATGTCCTATGATTAGTGTTTGTAAATAAAGGTAAAACATGTACAGTTGATTGGAAGACTATGGAACTTTGCACGCGCACACGCACGCACGCACACACACACACACACACACACACACACACGCACAAAAGCTAGATGAATATGTAAATCGGGCTTAATGGCCACGGTAATAAAAGTTTGGAAGACAGTAGTGCTGAGGGCAATTTGACCTCTGTAGGCAATGCTCAAGGGGTTTCAGAGGCGAATAACATCATCTGGACAAGAGACCATTCTTGTGATATTTTGGCAAAGCATGTGGCTGCTTTCAGCCCTTGTCCAACAGACCCTCCTGAGACTAATTTGCAGTTTTGTACTAATATCATTGGCAGCTGGGATTTTAAGTCAGCCTAATATTAACTGTGCCACGTGGTCACTCATACATCTAAGGAGAAAAGGAGCAAACAGAGCAAAGAGAAATAGAAAATGTATCGTTTGAGGAGAAAAAGAGAACCAAGAAATTTGGTATTGGAGCTCAAGCGGATGAGAAGCTTAAAGGTCTGATGCTAAATGGAATAAAGGGAGTGGTAACCTCTGGGCATGATATCACCCAGCTAATCCTGCAACCCGGAAAGGAAAAGGTCAGTGAAGAATGTCCTTGGCCTAAACAACAAGGGAAAGTTTATGCAAATCTAATTCAAGGTGGGGACAGGATCCAGGTCCAACAAGCTGGAGAACATGGCAGCATCAGTAGATCTGGCTTTAGAGTTAAGGATACAGGAAAGAGATTATGAAATCTTCCATGGTTAAGGAAAACTGTTGAGGTGAGGCACATGGCAAGGGAGTCCTCCCAGAGAGGCCCAAGGTAGCATTGTGTGAAGCTGCCAAGGTGAGGCCTGGATTAGGAGATCCCAAGATGTTAGAAAAGTCAGAGCATGGGGTATCTGCCAAGGAGAGATGCTGAGGACAGGATGTGGAACCAGCCCAAGAATAAGTGTCTTTCCATCAGCAAAGCTAGAAAGTGTGGAAGACTTGAAGATCTGTCTACTCAGCCTTTTGATATTGGTCAGAGATGACAAAATTTGGAGAATGCCCTGCTGAATTTCAGTGTTGCTTTGGTCCAGTGTTTTATTAAGCAGTTCCTGTTCCACCCTTTAAAAACAGTAATGTATATTCTGTGCCACTGTATGTATCTGTTGAAGCATATGATCAGCATTTTGATTTTTTTGCTTTTTCAGGGTTTTAATCAGAGATTGCCCTCAGGCTCAACAAACTAAGGACTTTGGGATTTTAAACAGTCTTGAAACAGACTATGGAGAGTTTTGAAGTTGGGCTGGATGAATTTTACATTCTGATATACCTACAAGCCTATGGGGGACAGGGAACTAAATGTGGTGTTTTGAATGAGAATGACCCCCATGCATGCATATATTTGAATGTTTAGTTTTCAGCTGGTGGAACTATTTAAGAAGGATTAGGAGGTGTGGTTTTGTTGGAGAGGTGTGTCACTAAGGGAAGGATTTGAGGTTTCAAAAGCCCATGCCCTATCCAACCTCTGTCTCTGCCTGCTGTCTGTGGATCTGGATGAAAAAGCAGCTCAAACTACAGCTAATAGTGATTTTAGATTTTCATCTGTGGTTTTTCCATGTTATAAATAAACTGGAAATAATGCTTACATGAACCAAAATGCCTGTAGGAATCTATTACTTTGACACTGTTAAATCAAGAGATAGGAAGTATTTTCTTTCACTATGAATTCATACTCTGAGCTGCTCTTGACAGGCTTGAATGTTAATTTCAAAAGGCAACTCTGACATCCTACATGCCCACTGAAAGTCAATTGTTGATCAAACACTTGGCAGACATACAGAGGAGTTTACCATTCTCTTATGGAGGCATATGAAATTTAACTGTATTAGTTTTCCAGAGCATTGGCCTAACCAAAAAGGATTCTAAAATATTGTTATACAATTTGTTAGAATGCTCCAATAATTTAATTCACTGACATAGTTCATATGAGACATTGTATGTTTAACCAAAAAAATGTATTTACAATTTGTTATCATTCTTGGGGTTAAATAATTAAATCTGATAGAAAATGACTTATTAGACAAGTCATTTTCATTAGTTTTAGCTATATTTTAGAAAATATATGTTTTGTTTTTGTGATGTTTACAGTATGTCTTAGGTGACCAGTACAGACACATTTCCAAAGGTATGAAGTAATCGTGTTCAAAGGAAACAGTGACCCATCTGCCAAATGCCACAGGAAACCAGGTCACTGTTTCCTTAAATTAGCTTCAGTGCAGGGTTTTGCAGAAATCTTTGAACAATGGTCATCAGTAAGTGCTGAATCGTTAAACAAGTCTATGCTCAGGCACTATTTCCTACAGGTTGAACAGCAAATGAATACATTTTTAGAGTCAGGAGACCACTCACCCTTTGTATGAGCAATAAGAACGACACGCTCTCCTGAATGGAAGATGAAGATTAAAAGACTGCTACTAATCTTGCTCTTGCTTTACTTACTGTTCTGACAAAGTCATTCAGACTAAGACTGTGTAAGTCTGTGAGAGGCTCTAGCCTGAAAGACCTAGCCTGTTGGACAGAGATCCTCCGACTTCCTCTTAAGAGATTCTGAATCTTATTTGAGGCGATATTGTACATATTTGCTTATTTTTCATGTAAAGAAGATTATTCTTGATGTCTAGTAAGTGGAATCAGGAAAATTTACTTTCCTTAAAGTATTTATATGAACATCAGATATTCGAATGTTATTTTATAATTGTATGTTAGGGACATCTGCATCACTTAACTATATTGTTTTATATTATTACAGGACAAAATGACAGGAACTGATAGCAATTGCCCAAATAATGAACCAAACTTTTTTAAAAAACATCTATGTGATGATACAAAGGTAATGATAATTTAAAATTTATTGTGAGCTTGATTTTATATGTACTTTTTAGATAATTAAATTAATTCCATGATCTTTTTTATCATGATGACAAGATTATCTTTTGTCTGTTATGTTATACTGTGATCTGTTATGTATTAATTTTACAGATATCCTGTTCTCAAAAGATAAAAACTGTAAGTTTGTCCTTACAGTTTGTCCTTATTTCCTATTTTTCACATTAAAAATACTAGTAACACTGACTATAAAGGCATAAATGTTTTTCCCATTAATTTCTTGTAAAAGAAAGTCCTTGTTAAAATGTTTGTGCTTTGTGCGCGCGCGCACACACACACACACACAATCATTTAGTTTTAGATGGTTTGAAGTTTTTTTTTTTTGTTTTTTTTTTTGTTTGTTTTGTTTTTTTTAGTATTTACTGACTTTATACCAAAGTCAGCTCTAGTTGGATAACTACAATGGAAAAATATACACAAAAGTTTGTAACTTTCCTCAAAGAAACAGATGTTCTTTGGTATTTGATAGTTTTTCTAAAACTCACCTAGCTGTTAACATCACATTATCACATAACCGTAAATTCTTTCCATTTTTTAAACTAATTTAACTAAAAAGCTTTATGTGTTAGGTTAAAGGGCTCTTCGTTTTCACTTTACTTTATTGTCAGCTTTTCCCCCGGAGCTCAAGTGTTCATAAACGGTAGCAAGAAAACCCACACCTACCTTCCCTTCTTAGCAGTTCAGCGGCCTTCTTCTTTGGTTATCCTGTTTAAAGCATACAGTCTTGTCATGTGTTCGCCCATAAACTGTAAAGCCACATGTACAGAATGGAGAAACAACTCTTTGAAAGTCAGATAATCATTAAACCAAATTCTAGGCACTTTGTGTTCTCTGTCTCCTTGGAGCCAAGCAGTTTCATTTTTGTTACTAACCACTGACGTGATTAACTGGAACAGAGAGCTGGGGAGGAGGTGGGGCATTGCTAAGGGACAGGGCTCTGGCCTTATGTTAGCAGCCCTTTTGATTTTGTTTCTTCCAATAGGAAGCTGCTTTTCTAAATCGTGCTGCTCGCAAGTTGAAGCAATTTCTTAAAATGAATATCAGTGAAGAGTTCAATGTCCACTTACTGAAAGTTTCAGTAGGCACACAAACACTGGTGAACTGCACGAGCAAGGTAAGTGTGGATGGTGTACTGGGAGCCAAATACACGTCACTCCTGTTTGGGATGCCATCGTTCTCTGGTGGTCAACACTTCTGTCACAGAGCTCAAAGCGCTGCTGATCTGGAAGGAAGACTCAAACTTTAGAAAGCTACGCATGCCTTGGTTGCAAAGTCAGAAAGCCCATTTGAATCTGCTTTAAAAGGTTAACCAGGGACATTGAACAGTGACCATGTTGGTTTGTGGGCGATGGATTATTTCTTACATTTCCATTAAGTTGTTTCATCAAAAGGGAAGCAGGTGAGTTTGCATACGCTTTGCGAAGTTTCAGGCAATCCAACATGAAGTAAAAAATTCCAAGTACACAAATATGCAAGCTAAAAGCAACATAAATATGCCAAGGGCCTGTGTCCAAGAATTTGGAAAGTTTAGAATATTTGCATATCCAGAATTTCAGAGCTAAAAGCAACACTTATTTTTTCCTACATTTTTGACATTACGTATCATTGTACATCACTATTCATGGTGAATGGTCAGGACATCTCACACACAATTCTGTCAATGTTCACCTTCCTTACAGAAAATGATGGGGTTTCTGCATATAACCTACACATATCTTCCTGTGTCCTCTAAATTGCATGTAGGCTTCTTCAAACACCTATAGCAATGTAAATGATAAGTACTTAGTTATTATGTGTAGTTTGAAAACAAAGACAAGAAAATTAGCTCACACATGTTCAGTACAGGAGCATTTTTCTTCAAATATGTTCAAATGCAGTTGATTTAAATCCAAGGATGTGGAACTATGGACATATACTATACCAACACTGGTATCGTGGAAGTACCATTCGTAGTCCCCCTACTCACGTACAGCAATTAGTCAAGTGGAATTCAGTTGGTACTTTAAAAATGTTCTGGTGTATCCACTGAAAGATTAAAGAAAAATTCCTTCAGATCTTTAAAAACCTGTCATCAACTCTTTGAAGTTATTTAAAAGTTACATGATTGCATTACTCAAGTGTGTAACAAATAGAGATATGAATTTGTGACTAAATTAAGAGATGAGTTCATGATGTATCCATTACAACTGTGTCCCACTGGCTCTCACCTCTTTGTGGGTTCTTATCCTCATGTGTGGACTGAAGTAAAATCATCAAGGTCACAGCTTTAGCAAGAAGACAGAATAAAGTAAAACCGGTAAAGCACTGAGAATAATATCTGACCTAGAAAATACTCAATTAACTGATTCTTCACTAAATGATTCTTCACTAAATCACTCTACCATGTCACATGGCTCAGAGAAATACAATTGCTCTCCAGTTATCTACTGTGTACAGGCATCTCTCTATATACTGTCCTGGTAGCATTTAAAAATTCTTAATTAGGTGGGAAAAACTAACTTATAAGGCAGATAGTAGCCATATTCTATTAAGCATTAAATTTTTGTAGCAGATTCTAAAGTACCAGTTGAATTAGTTATAGTATTGTTAACCTAAATATTTTCAATGTTACATCCTTCCAAAAAGTTTTTTGATATAAAAGTCCAATTAAATCATGTAAAAAAAAATGTGTCCTTTATGAAAGTTTAGACTATCATGTCCACTGTTACAGGGTGAAAAATGACATATAAAACATTAAGAATAGTAGATTTGATTTTCCTATCAATCATAGTTATCATCACCACGGATTTTAAGATGTCATACAAGGGTTTCCATTCTGACATACTATGTAGTGTATAATCTAATATGATGAAAACCGAAAAGCAACTATTTTGAGACTCATTCTACTAAAATATTAAATTAAATCTTATAAATTTATTTCCCAGGATGAAAGAAATTTAAAGGAACAGAAAAAGAATGATCCATGTTTCCTAAAGAGACTACTGAGAGAGATAAAAACTTGTTGGAATAAAATTTTGAAGGGCAGTATCTAAACAGGACATTCAGTAGTAACCTTCAAGAATTGCCTGGTCCATGCCGTTTGAGGGGTTGAAATCCCCCCAGAAGTTGCTGGATGCCTCCTGGCTAAATGAACAGAGCATCAGGGAGACCCACAATGAGGCACTAGAAGATGGACATGAGCAATCCAACTGGTTCCTGTGATCAGCACAGACATATGGACATGCATCAACTGTACTGATTTTGTAAGGGAATCATGTCATCAGCAATACTTTTTCAACCTTTCCAAACATTTCAAAAGATATCAAGTCTGCAAGATTCATGGCCACAAGGATTCAAAGCCACCATTGTTTTCTAGCAAAATGAAGATATGTGCATCAGGAAACCACCTGAGGAGAGGAACTGTCACCTTGTAGACTGAAGACTCTGCAGGGCTCATGGTGATGAATAATGCTCATGAAAACAAGAGTCAGACACTTGTGTGGCAGCAGCAGCAGCAAAAAAGAAGCTAAAAGCACTTAAGACACATATCCAGAAATGTAGTTAAACAGGAATGTATAACACATACCTTCAGTAAAGAGCATAGCAGATATTTTTTAATAGAAGAATTTTTAAAGCTAGAAATGCACTTAGTACAAAGATACTGAACCTTAGTATTCGATCACTTTCGTCATTTATGTGTAATAAAGCTTGTATAACTGAGTTTTCAATTTGGGAAGTATATTTTTAAAAGAATAATATATGTTAGACTTTGAATTAATGTATATATTTAATTTTGACATTATCTATATATAAAATATTTTCATACACTACACTGCCTACTTTGGAAAGTGCCTCTTTTTAAAATAAATGACCTTCGTGTTGACACTGTCAGGTTCACTTAATCTCAAGCATGTTCACTGCTGCGCTGCCGTTTGACCCCATTTATATTCAACATGTAATCTTTGACACACTCATACCAAGAACCATGAGACTAGGACCCTGCAACTCTGTTAAGAGGAGAAACACTAATTTCTTGTTTTACAATAGGGTCTTCTATGTACCTCAGGCTGGCTGTGATGCTACCGCCTCAGCCTCCCAAGGGCTGGGCTTGCAGACATGAGCCAACATGCTCAGTTAGAAACACTAATTTTTTAATATTAACTTCATGTCTTTGAAGAGACATCTGTGCATATCTTATGTATATAATACCTGTTTAAGAATCCTTCTTTGAAAGGCCTGCAGTCTTCATTCAGTTGTGAGGGACAGGAACACAGAGACTGAATTTCTGAAACAGATGAAAGTGCTGAACTCACATTCTTTTGGTTCTTTTCAACCACTCCAGCATCTAGCCGGATGTTTGCATTTCATCTGTACATTACATGATCAGTGCTCCACCGACACCTTCCATGTGTGATGGCCGTGCCTTCTCCTTCCCCCTTTTCTCCAACCCATATGAAGTTCATCTCCAATGGTACAGATAGCTGGCATTAATCGTTTTGGGAGAAAAACTTCTGGTTTAAAGTTTGTTTCATAATCAACACCATTTGCCCAAGTAACAGTTGATCAGAACAAATGATACTTTAAGAAAGTCAGCTTCTTTAATGGACTTTGCTAAGTAGGTTATGTCTTCACTATAAAAGGGATCTACTAAATGGTAGTGTTTTATCTTGAAGAACTAGTAAAATGGGTAAGCCATTAGCTAGAGAACTGAGGGCATTTGCATGTCTAAAGGTAAACTCTATACCTGCAAGGCTGTCTGTAAAGCACCCTAGCAGTATTGAAACAATTCTGACTATGGCAAAATTTTAAATGCTCATTAAAAGTTATTAAAATTTCTTCACTGGTCTTTATCATTTATTAATGAGAGACATTAACTGTAGGTAAAATTCATTTTCCAACAGTTCATTCAACTTGTGTACTAAAAGCTTTGGAAGTTATCCACATTCATGCTGTGCTTCACTCATTGTTTAGGAAAGCAGATAGAGGCAAAGGAATGTGGGCAATGAGCATCTTGAGTATATTTTCATTCTAATTCACAATTATAGACTTGTCTATTTAAATTAAATGTTTTCAATCAAATATTTGAGGAATTAAAAATGTAATAATGACTACATAAATGCTTAAAATGAGCATTTCCTAAAGCTTTTTCCAAGAAACCCTAATTCCAGTGTTACAGAAAGAAAAAAAAAAGCAAAAACAATAAAAATTAAAATAAGCAAAGAAAATTAAATAATAAGAATCATAAGTTCTAAAGCTATACTTTTTCCATCATGAACTGGGGTTCACAAATGATAAAAGTATATTAAATGCTCTATAGTCTCATTCATACAGATTTACTGTTTAATATTAATATACAAGAATGCCATTTTTATATAACAGCTACTAGCACAATACACAGCAAATATAGTTAACAAGATCAAAATAATAGCAATATATTATAGAAGAATTCCAAGTAAATACTTTTACAAGTCTTCAAGAAATATACTAAATGACATAGTTTTTAGAATTACGATAATTTTATTTGTAATTTGTGTGTGTTGTGTGTATGTGTGTGTGCTCAAAAGTGTGAGCGGAGGTGCAGACATGCTTTGGCTGTCAGAGGATACCTGCAGAGAGTGAATTCTCTCCTTGTACCTTGTTTATGAGAGAGGGCCTCTCTTGTTTTTGTGATTACTTGGAGGTAGTTGACCTGAGTTTCTGGACTATCCCGTCTCTGCCTTTATCGCTTCACCAGAGACTAGTGCTTTACAGATGTGTGCATCTGGCTTTTTATGTGGATTCCAGGGATCTACCGCAGGTCATCATGTTGTGGGAGTCTGGTTGTTGTCAGGTACTCTCCCAGAAAGTACAACTTAGTTGAAAATGAAGCCAGAAGGGCACCCTCTGGGCAGAAAAGAGTGACGCATAGAAATCAAAGAAGCTCAGGGCTCTGGAACCTCAGCCAGGCAGCAACACGGGCCTGGCCTGACTTGGGCGGGTCAGTGGCTGCTTCATGAGCACGGAGCTCTGAAACCAAGACAGGCAGAGACAGGGGGGTGTGTTTTTGCAGGTGAACAACATGGCTCCTTTGGGAACAGCCAGTTGCTTGCTCCTGCTTGTGGAGCTGCGCTCGAAAGATCAGCAGTCAAGCCCTGGGGGTCAGCGATGAATTATTGGGGGGCGGGGGGAGAATGGGAGCCTGTCCTACCCCAGAAGAAATGATGAGTCTCATCCAGTCATGGTGAAATAGATGATGCTGACACATTTCCTGTGAAACTGTGACTACAGTGGGAAGGGGTTTGAGGGTTGAATGCGTTTGATTGTCTGGGACTAGAAGTACCAGGAATACTTAATTTACAAACAATCACACAGTCCTATCATAAGGGAACACAGTACTTAATTATCCTATGGGTTGGGGGAAGAACTCCAGGAATGGTTAAAGATCATTGGTTGAAAGCCAAGACACCAGGACATCTCATTAGCACAGGGTAGGTGTTTCCAGGAATCCCCAGACACACACACTGAATGGGTTTCTTATCAGGAAGGGTTGGGCCTGTGATTTTTCCTGAGGGCTATGTGAGTCTTCTTAGGGGATCTGGGATGCACAGAGCTCAGAGGCCATCTTGAATGCCAGACTTAGACCTTAACAACAGGGACCCACAATCTCCCTGGCACAAGATAGTTACTTGTTAGAGGACACAAAAGATTGTACAATATATTCATATCACATAATGTTTTAATGCATATATGCATTGGTTAATGTTAGAATAAAGGGAGGCATATCTATTTCCTCAAGAATTACTTATTTAATGAAAAATATTCAAAATTCTGTTAGCTCTTTGAAATGTACAGTGCTGTCACCATGCTGGGAACCAAAGCAGCAATACTTATTTGTCTATCCTAACTCTATCTTATTGTTTTTCAGAGACCCACCTTTCTTCATTTTGACAATTCCCTTATAGGTGAATCCTGGTAAACCTGAAGTCTTTCTTCTAGGCCATGCTTTCACTTACAGGTGTTTCCAAGATAATTCATCAGTCGTGTCTTAAGGATTTCACTGAAACACAAGCCTCTCTCTAAGTTCAGTGGCCTTTACCATTCTCTGTACTAAGGAACTTTAAATTCTTACTAAGAAATATCTTTCACATTTTATTCTGAACTCCTTTTTCCTGAATTACTGTTATTGGTTCTGTGTTAATCCTAGATACTGTTAGTATTTGATTCTTTAGTTGTTCACAGGACTTTATTTCAAGGAATACACATTGTGAATTGACAAAAATCTATGTTAGTACTTTATTGTAAATATAGTTATTACAAGAACAATGTTTGCTTAAAATGTTTTATGACCTCTGAAAGAATGTATCATTTTGAATGTCTATTAAGCACCTTTTGGGAAAAGGTGTGGTTAATGGATAATCAGATGAAACATATCATGACAACATCTTATTAAAATCCATTTAAGGTTCTTCAGGTCTGTAGATGGTTGTCCTATATTATATGGCTAATATCCACTTATTAACGAATGTATACCATGCCTGTCTTTCTGTTTCGGGGTTACCTCATTCAGGATGATCTTTTAGTTCCATCCATTTGCCTGTAAATTTCATGATTTCCTTGTTTTTAATAGATGAGCAGTATTCCATTGTATAAATGTACCACAATTTCTGTATTCATTCCTCCGTTGAGGGACATCTAGGTTGTTTCCAGATTCTGACTATTACAAAAAACCAGGCCATGGAGGAAGAGGATCCAGGCAGTCCTGATGCGACTTAACAAGCTATGGGCAGATGGCAATAGTGGAGAACTCCCCCTTTCAGTGGACTAGGGGAAGGAGATGAGAGGAAGAGGGAGGGAGGGTGGAATTGGGGAAGTTGAGGGAGGAGCTTCATTTGGGATATATAATAAATTGTGAAAAAAAATTAAAACAATCCATTTAAGTAATTCAGATAAGATATTCTGTAATAAAGTCTTATTTGCTAAACATAGGTATTACATGTCTCTAGAACAAACTAGGATAACATGATTGGATCCATAGTTTTCTGCTCTTATAAATGCTCATGATAGTCTCCTGTCCTGTTTCCTGTCTTCTCCTTCTTCCATGTATCGTGTTTGCCTTCCTGAGTGAGGATTGATCATCTTACCCAGGGTCCTCCTTCTTGCTTAGCTTCTTTAGATGTACAGATTTGAGTATGTTAATCCTATATTGTGTGTCTAATATCCACTTAAAAGAGAGTACATACTGTGTGTCTTTCTGTTCCTGGGATACCTCACTCAGGATGATCTTTTCTAGTTCCCACCATTTCATGATTTCCTTGTTTTTAATTGCTGAGCCTACCACAGAGGGCCTCTGAAAGATTCTACCCAGAGGGGATCAAAGCAGATGCTGAGGCTCATAACCAAACTTTGGGCAGAGTGCAGGAATCTTATGAAAGAAGGGGGAGATAGAAAGACCTGGAGGGGACAGGAGATCCACAAGGAGAGCAACAGAACCAAAAAAATCTGGGCACAGGGGTCTTTTCTGAGACTGATACTCCAACCAAGGACCATGCATGGAGATAACCTATAACCCATGCTCAGGTATAGCCCATGGCAGCTCAGTGTCCAAGCGGGTACCTTAGTAAGGGGAACAGGGACTGTATCTGACATGAACTCAGTAACTGGCTCTTTGATCACCTCCCCCTGATGGGGGAGCAGCCTTGCCAGGCCACAGAGGAAGACAATGCACCCAGTCCCGATGAGACGTGATAGGCTAGGGTCAGATAGAAGGGGAGGAGAACCTCCCTGTCAATGAACTTGGAGAGGAGCATGGGAGGAGATGAGGAAGGGAGAGTGGGATTGGGAGGGAATGAGGGAGGGGGCTACAGCTGGGGTACAAGTGAATAAACTGTAATTAATATAAAAATAAAAGTTAAAAATGCCCATGATATTGTGTGAAAAATATTCAGTCTGGATTTTGAGCCAATAATAGAATCTACAAAACCATTATAACACAGGACAAAAAGATAGGTTCGCTGATACACTGAGAACTGCCATCGTATACCTAGATATAAGAATAGCAGGGAACACTGATGTATATTTGTAGGAGGTTGAGACAGGAGGATTCCTTGAGTCCTGAATTTTGAAGCTACCCTGGGCAACAAAGTAAGATTCAGCTATTTGTAGTTTATTATGCTATTATTGTTTAGTAAGTATACTGACTCACCTGCCATGGGTCACTCTGAATCACACTCCAACATGAACTTGCACTAAATACATATGAAAGAAAGTTGTGAAGTTACCTTGGGTATTGGTAAGCTGGAGGAGTGGGGAAGCATAAGTATTACTAGAATGAAGAATAGACATTTGAACCAAGAGAGTCAAGGCATTTCTAATCCACATGAAATTTGTTACAAAATCCTTTTCTCAAGATAACATAGATTGGAGGGACCTCTGTCCCTTACCTGTGAAAATCCCTTTAAAAATATCTTAGAATTAATGAGGAAATAAGAAAGGTATGCTCATTTATGAATGTTTAGTACATTGAAAAAGCATAATCAATGAATAAACTTTGCCTTCACAGTAAGACAAGATATTCTGAATGAGATTTAAGCATTGCCTGTAGGGTCCTCCTTGTTGTTTAGCTTCTTTAGGTCTGTAGATTTTACTATGGTATCCTATATTATATGTCGAATATCCACTTATAAGTAAGTATATACCATGTGTGTCTTTCTGCTTCTGGGTTACCTCACTCAGGACGATCTTTTCTAGTTCCATCAATTTGCTTGCAAATTTTATGATTTCCTTGTTTTGAATATCTGAGTAATATTCCACTGTGTAAATGTGCCACAATATCTGTATCCATTCTTCCATTGAGGGACATCTAGGCTGTTTCCATGGCAAACAAGATAGACATCAGAAGCGGGGAAAGAGAGAGAATAGGACTGAGCCTATCATAGAGGTCCTCTGGAAAGGCTCCACCCAACAGGGGATAGAAGCAGATGCTGAGACTCAAAGCCAAACTTTGGGCAGAGAGCAGGGAGTCTTATGGAAGAACTGGGGGATAGAAGGACCTGTAGGGGATAGGAGCTCCACAAGTAGTCCAAAAAAGCTTAAAAAAATTGGGCCCAAGGGGTCCTGCAGAGACTGATATAACAACTAAGGGCTATGCATGGAGAGGAGCTAGATTCCTGCTCAGATGTAGCCCAGAGGCTGCTCAGTCTCCATGTGGGTACCCGAGTAAGGGGAGCAGGGGTTTCCTCTGCCATAAACTCCATTGTTGCCTGCTCTTACTTCCCCCTGGCGATGTGGGGATCCAGTCCTGATGAGACTTGATAAGCTAGGGTCAGATGGCAGGAGAGGAGAACTCCCCCTTTTAGTGAACTAGGGTAAGAGGATAGAGGGAAAGAGGGAGGGAGAGTAGGACTGGGGGAGATGAGGGAGGGAGCAACAATCGGGATATAAAATGAATAAATTAAAAAAAAATTAAAAAACAAAAAGCCAAAACCAAACCAAAAGACAAGACAAAATATCCCAGTAAAGACAACTACTTTTGCTTTTCATCAACTAGATATCAAAAAAATATACAGTTAGAATACAGGTCTAGTTCAAAGCATGTCATTTTCTTATCCCCATCTTACTCTGAATAAGTCAACATCATAGTCTGGCTTCTCCTTTTGTTTTTTTTTTTGAACTTTAGACAATCTGATATATCCAGTCTGGCCTCAAACTCTTATATAATCGAGGAAGAGTTGGTTTCCTGATCCTACTGTTTTCACCTCCCAAGTGCTAGGATTACAAGTATGAGTCACTGAAGCTCACTTCATGCTGTGCTATGAGGACTGGCTCCAAAGCTTTTTGTGTGCTGGGCAAGCACTCTATTGACTAAGCAACACTCTTACACCCAAATGTCTACCTTTCCCCTTTAATGTTCACCCCATTCTGGAAATACCAGTTTCTCCCATGCTTCAAGACTATTGAATATTCTTTGGTAGAAGCAACTAGAAGTTAAGGAAATAAATAAGTGCATAAAAAAACCAGGTCACCTTGTTTTAAGGCTTGTGTTCAAATATTATTTTCGTAATGAAATAGTTCCACAATGTTCATCCAACATGTAACTTACTTTCACTCCCTTTCCCATCTTCTAATCACTCCCATACCTGAGTATTCTCCATAGCAGTATCACAATCTCCTATTATCTCTTTATCCATCTTTATTTACAATCTTCCTCCATTAGAATTTCTAAAGTTCAAAACTGCCACGATTTCTTACTTCCTTGTTCACTGTACCTAACATATTTAAATATTGTTAGCCAAGTACATAACATACTAAGAGCTTGCTTAGCATCATACATTTTGGCAAAGATTTTTATATATAGTACTGATAATTATGTAAAAAATTAGTCCTACAATATTGATAGAAGTATAGTCAAGATACATTTTTTTAAAAATTTGGTTTGTGATTATCTACCACCATCCTTAAGATGAGGAAAGGTGTCTCGCTCAGTTCAGCATAATACAGAGCTCCTACTAAACAATATAGATTTAAGAATGATTTCCAGAACCCCACACACTGCAAAAGGGAATCATGAGTTAAGACCACATTGGTTGAAATTTTAAGAGCTGATCCCAAGCTAGCTAAACGTGATTATTTATTAAACGCTACTGAATAATTAAAGAGGCTCTCTGGGAAAGCCAGGCAGACATGTTTAGAAGTTGTTCAGTCAAAAGCAAAGCAAATTCAGGTATCACAGCACTTCAGGTCTGTCTAGCACTTCCAGTCAGCTTAGGTGGTTCCACAGGGAACAGGCCTTGCCGCAAGGGTGCCTCTTACCTTTTTGCTATGGCTATTCTTAAAACTCAGTGTCTCTTTCCCTACCCCGCCCTCGTGTGTGGAGAACGAAGACTGTTAGTTGTTGTACATAGCTTCACAACCCAGCTGCGATGTTTTATCTTGCTCATCGGTAGATAAAGTATACTGTTAGATAATCTGTAGGGGTGCTTCCAGTAACTGCTGGCATGCTGATCAGTGTGCTGCTTGGAAAAGAGCCACCTTTAGGACAGGCAGAACCACTCAATAGTCTAAGGTCTTATTTGAATCCCTGGGTGAAACAAAACAAAAAGGATAATGTGTGGATATACACACGTGAGGTTAGTAATCAGAGGTGCTTTAAAAATAAATTAATTTTAATTTAACCTTTTTAATTTTAGTATCATGGTGTTTTGATATCAGACTCTAGATTTTCTAGTTTTTGAATGTGAACTTTCAAGAGTAATATCCATGGACTGCTGGGCCTTTACCCCTGGAATGGAGTTGCTTCAATGACTGAAGTGAGAAGCTGCTAATTTCCACAGATTACAGTCACTGCCAGACTCAGATTTGAATTCTCATGGGAATAGAGTGAGCCTCTGATGTAGAAAATAAATTTAGTAAGTTCCTTGTGTATTTAAACAAGTACACACATATCTATAGTAAAATGTATATATTCCTAGATATACACATAAACCTTCTACAGTTCTTTTTTGGAGGATCCTAAATACAGACATGCTCAGTTGTCTCCTAATACCAAAGTCATACTCTTATTGCGAGAAAGGGTGGAAAGCTAAGCTAATTGATTCAGGTGTTGAGAATTGAGGCAGAAAATTCACCAGACACAGGATTTTCAAGAGACTAGCTCTAAGAATGCAAAATGTTCATCATAAATGGTAAGGAGATTTAAGCTTAAAACTACCACAAATCTAAACTGCTTCACCTTCAAATATTCCCTAGGCAATGTTTAATTTCTCACATTGCCCACGGTCTTCCTACTTAAGTAATGGGGGTGGGGTTGAGTCTTTTAAGTTTCTTATCCATAATAAAGAGCTTCCGGGGAACATCAGCTACTCTAGAGAGAGATAAGGTGTTAAAGGGGCAGAGAACACAACGCTCACTTAAATGGTGTTTTGATTTTATCTTCTACTCTACCATGCTCCTAAAATTGTTTTATTGTATTGGAATACTTGCTAAGTGGCCATTTTTATGAAGAGTTAAGAAATTAGTGTTTAATATAAAATTTAAAAGTCTTTTCTTGTGAGGTTTACATGAAATTTCCCTACAGGCAGTGTTAAGTTTGAGGTGACTGGTAAACAAAATAACTTCCTACTTTTTAAAAGTTTCTTGACAAAAAGGAGATTATTGAATTATTTCAAAGCCGTGTTAACACGTGGGTCAACAGTAGTAAGACGAACACCTGCTAGTGAGTCAAACTACGGTTTATTTTTATTACAAGTGGAATAAAACTCACTTAGAATAGTACAGCAAAACAAGATAGACAGGTTTCAAATGTCTCTTGAGTAAAATTTAAGAAAACTATTTAAAATTTAAGTGTAACTTTCACAGTAAGTTACTTAACTAGAAAGCATCACTTACACCCAGCAAAGCTAGATAAGCGATTGTCATAATTGAGTGACTAATTCTCAAAATTATAGTCCTTTTCACTTGCTTCATAAAGAATAAAACATACCATACATCTACTTAGAATGCCTACAATGTGTGAAATTTAAATGAAAGTTACCTTATATTCTAGCAGAAATAAGCAAAACATAACAATGTTTCAAGCTTTTTATTTGCAGTTTAAACACAACTGGAATATTCCTTGCACAACTTACAAGTATATTCTTAGCAACTAAATAAATCTTTACCTGCCGTTTTCACAGATAGCCAAGGTCAAACACTACAGCAATAGCTAGCGGGCAATAGATACTCAGTATTTCCTTAAGTTACTCCCACGGTGGTGCTCCACATAGCTTAAACCAGCTTTCTAAGATATCAATATAGGGATCTCTAGAACAAGCTACAAAAATTGCTCACAAATCTCTGCAATTTCATGTTTCACAAATAAAAACTGAGCCCTCTAAAATAACTGAGGCTAGTAACAGTAAATTATACAAAAGCACCCTCTAGTGGCAACAAAAGCAATTCACATAATTATTTAAACAGGCATTTCAGTATGTAATGAAAATGTTTCTAAGTAAAAATGAGTGTTCTACCTCTAACTTTCACCCTTTCTGAGATCTACTCAATATTTAACCCATTTCAAAAATCAACTGAACTCATACTAAAAATATACTTACTGTAATAAAGTAATTTTGTACGTTTTTTTCCTATTAGATTTTTCTTCTTTGAGCTTATATTCCTAGGAAAAAAGCATTCATCCTTAACCCAGGAAAAAAACTGAATAGAAATGAAATGTATATAATAGCCATATTTGTATTAGACATAGCACTTGTATTAACATTTAAACAATGGTCTACTCTTTAACTATTTATCACAATTAGTTTTCTACCAAAGTACATAGTATTTATCTAAAATACTACGGTTTTCAATTTTAAAATTTTGTTGGGTATAAAAACAGAATTTCTATACCTTAAAACTTGTAACAAATAATTTTCTTAAAGGCATGAAAGAGCAATTAAAAATCTTATGGTAGAAAAAAAATGGCATTTTATTTTATTTATTTATACTTTATTTGTATTCTAGTTTGTTCTTATCATTCTAAAAAAAGTCAATAAATATACCAAGCAACAACTTATATTTTGTCTTTATTGGTTTGAAATGAATATATCATTTATAATAAAAAAAAAGTGAATAGGAGACAACAGCAGTCACAATGGTCTTATTTTTTTCAAGTGAATACCTTTCAGAATAATCTATATACAATTTTCCATTTTAACTTAACCTTACAATCATTTTTCATTCTATCACACTTGCAAAAATTGTGCAAATAAATAAAAATGAACGGTGCATAGGAAGACTCCTTAAAAACTATTGCACAACACGTTAACATGAGAGTAAAGTACGGACCACAGAAATGTGTTAAAAGTCGTTGTAACATGTATTTCACAGACAGTGCTTTCAGTGACCTCTGGGCTCTCCAGTGGAATGTGTTTGACCAGCTCATCTCTTGGTAGTATGCTTTTAACATTTATTTGCTACTGTAAAAGGCAATGACAAAAAAATGTGCCTGTTTTTAAAAAAACCAATTTATCCACCTCTAAGTACAATGCAAAGTGAAAGAAATACTGTCCATTCCTAGATAAAGACAAATTGATAAATTAAAAGTTCTTCAGATATTTGTAACCAATTTTAAAAAGGCAGTTACTAAAGTGAAAATCTACATTGTCTTCTTAGTCTTCTAACCAGTCTTCATTACTGCTTACTCAAGCTGACTAGTTTTGAATTGGTTTATCAATATGACCAAATAGGGTAAGCAGGGAGGGGGGGGGAATCTAACCAGAAAGAAGCATAAAGTGAACAAAATGAAAACTCACTACCTCAAGCTTAAAATCCCTTCCCAAAGTAAAATAAAACAGAAAGCAAGAAGTAAATTTCAGAAATGAAATTCCAACCAATGTCTACATTCATCCGTAATCATAAACAAAACCAAAAAGGAAACACATCACCACAAAATGTTGCTGGCACCCCTTTAGGGTAAAGTTCAGACTCAACTGAACAGTGATTACTATAGGACTGTGGATCATACTCTGCCAAAGCCAAAGTACTACCTACCAGGAAGTACTTACATTGAAAGTGAGGTGATCAAAACCTATTTCAGTCAGGTGGAAGAGAAAATATATATCCTAGCTGTGCTTATGTTTGCCAGTTATGAAAAACATTTCAGTACTTTCAGTGTAGTAAGTACGGTGTTTCAACGTTAAGCACTAAAGAAAATATGAATAGGAAAAAGTAGATATTTTTTTCAATGTACTTGCATTTATACCAACCATAAGGAACTAAAAAACAGTTTTGTCTGCATGCTCAAAATTAATGAGTACTACAATTATTTATTGGGTGGGATGATTTGCTTTAAAATGCATTAATTTCCTATAAACACATATTTAGAAATAAAAATTTTAAGCATGTCAGATATTAAAAAAAAAATCTGTGTACCTTAAATAATTCTGTTTAGTACTGCAAACACTGTAGCAGTAACCTAAAACTACTCTTCAAAGAAGTTATGCCAAAAGAAGGAAAATAAAATCTCAGAACACAGTTGACAGAGAGATGTGTCCAACTAAGATGGAGGTAATTTAATAATTCAGTTGTAAGTAGAGTAAGATACATTTAAATGCTCAGTCATTTATGAAAAGGAGATTGCATAGCTACATGTCCACAGAATGAAGACTATATTTACTAATTTAATCAGGTTGTGTAATTAAAAATCCATGAAATTACCGGCAACATGGACCTCAGGTTTTCCTTTTCATCATTTCTTAGGCATTTAACACTAGTTCCTAAAGAGTTCAGTTGTGAAAATGACCTCACATCAATTGATAATGAACAACATTCTCTTCAGTAACAGAATCTCCAGTATCCCATTCTCCTATGATGCTACTGGTGATAGGCATCAATGACAGCATCTCTTCTGATTTCTTGTTGAGAGATGTGATTATCCTAAAGCTTGCAAGGTTCATCACTAGAATGGGAGAGCTTGTGCAAGTACACTAATGTATTTAAACAACTGAAGAGCAACACCGAAGACAATGATCTCATATCAACTTATTTTTTAACACATACTTGAGTGGCACAGGCTGGAGGAATGAGATTTATTATATACAGAATATATATATACATACACATATATAAAGACATTACACAGCCTAAGGACTATATTCCAAAGACTAAGGTATTGTAAAGAGCTTTTAGCACAATGTAACTGGAAGAAGTGCCCAGGCTGTCAAGCAGCAATAATCATTAAATTCTGAACCCGGCCCCTTAGCTTTTTAGACTGTTCACAGAATCATTCTTCGAATGCCACATTCACAACAGAACTTTGCCCAGTCAACAGGGTACTTTGTCCCACATTCATGGCAGAATTTTGGTAAATGTCCAGATGAGTTTCCCTCGATGCTTTTAATGTTTCCACCATTTACTGAAGATGTATAGTCTCCATCCGGCCTACAGAAGTAGAGAAGGAGGTGCAGAATCAATTTCACTCACATCAGTAGTTAATACCATTATGCAGTAAAGAACAGGGAGTTATTAATATATAGAAACTAAAACCTTATTCCTCTCGTCCAATTTATAAAACAATCTTTGGGTCACGCATGGTGGTGCATCCCTGTAATTCTACCCTGGCGCGGTACAGGCAAAAGGCCAGTTTCCGCTACAAAGTGAGTTCTTGGCCAACTGAGCTATATAGATCTTGTCTCAAACAAACAAACAAACAAATATAACAAAACAAACTCTGCAGAAAAAGACTTAATTTTAAGTGGTTCTCCTTTGGAGAAGCCCTGATTAGCACATGCAACCATGCCTTTCTTTATTGTATTTGTCACCTTTTACTATACAAAGGTGCTCACAATGTCCTTCCTGGAAAAAAAAAAAAAAAAAAAAAAACATTTTAACATAAAACTGGAACACAACCCTGGGCAGACAGAACCCTTCAAGTTCCAGATCTTTCCTTGGCCACATGTTATGGCCAAGGGTGATACTTCCCAATTTATCTTATTTACTTTGATCTTAATTATATTATTATGATGCAATAAATACATTAAAAACCACTGTTCGTGCACTCTCATGGTAAATGTTAGCAAATACAGCAATGCATGTGAGGAGCAAGAAGATGGTTACATTGTGGCAGTTTTTAAAACAGGTTTATTTTTATTTTGAGTGCTTGCCTGTGCACAGCGTGCATGCCCGCCACATGTGTAGGTCAAATGAGAGCATCAGGAACCAGAGTTACTTACAGTCGGTTACAAGCTGCCATGTGGATCCTGGGACTTGAACCCAGGTTCTCCAGCAAGGCCGCCTGTCGCCACACATTATGAAAAATAATTAAAGCTTGAACCTATACAGGTCTCACGACCCTACACGAGGAGTTCAGACTCTGCTGGTGAGGCAGTGCCAGCTGGGAGAAGCAGCTATGGTTCCAGCAAGAATGTCTCCTTGTCCTCCAGGCAGGTGTGCTGAGAACACGCTCTTTACCTTACACTCAGCACAAAGACAACTCCTAAATCACTGCTGAGAAGAACACTACTCAATGTTTTTGTTGTTGTTGTTTTTTTAGAGTAGTTACTGTTTGTGAAACTCTAGACACTCCCAATTTGACCAGCTCCTTCATAAAACAACTTGGAGCTGACAAAAAAAATTACTGGACTTTTGACAAAAATCTGCTACGGACTTAAAACTGTGAGATGACAATGAAGCAACTCGTGTGTTCTAATATGCTATACTTAAGTTCTCAGAAGGGAGACACACACACTTGTCAGAGGCAGAGAGTAACCTACAGCTTGGTATAACCCTTGCCAACCACAAGCCCAACATTAACTGAGTAACACTAATCCAGGGAAAGTAACAAAATAAACAAGCTCTCCGCAGTGAAGTATATTAAGAATTAATTCAAAATGTAAAAGATCACTTGAGTACTCAGCATGAGCACCTGTCGGTAAAGAATTCATGTAAATACTGAAACTTCACCTTTCCTAGGCATTACTAAATTCTGTACATAATTGCTGGTCAATGTTTGCTCTAACTGGGAGCACACGAGTGTCTCCATCATCACATTTCCTACCAATGTGGTTTTGTGAAGAGGTTTTCTTTTGCTCGCCTGGAAATATAAAATGGTTGCGTTCATACATTTCATATACATGTATATGTACAGTCCTGCTCAGGAGGCTAAAACTGTTTTCACGTTTCTCTGGCATTGGTGTTTCTTCCACTGGCAATATGCTTGCTGTCCCTGCCCTCTATTCCCAGAGCTCCTCTACTCCTCAGACTCCAGCGCTATTGGTTACATGGGTTCACCCTTACTCTTGTACATGTAGAAAATCTCCACATATCTTGTCAATCAGGCAAGTTCAACTCCCTGTCTGTGGGCCTCATGTGGTCAAAGACAGCTATAAATGGGAGCCAACACCAATCACAAGCTTATTAAAATATTGTAAGATTTTTTTCCATTTTTTGATAAGTCAACTGCACTGTTCTCAAAAATGAATATTGTAAATGACAATGTAGTGTCACAGTGTCACATCTGGCTGTATACAGTAACCTCCTCTCTCAACATGTTGTATAATTTTAATTTATCTCAGGCTTTTGCAGAATTTTTTTCACTTTTACCATGATCAAATATATCTTTTGCTGTAAATCAGTATTTACTAAATTATTCAAGAAATCCTTTCCTTTCTCAAATAACGTCTCGTTTTTCTAAAACCATAAATGGCTTTTCTTTCCATTTTGGGACACTCAGTTTACTAGGAACTAATTTACTGATGTTTGTGTGTGCACGCATGTGTATGTGTGTGTACATGTGTATGTGAACACCTGTGTGTACTCATGCACACGTATGTACAGGCAGGGCTCGAATCACTGTCTACATGCCAAGCATCATAACTGATTTCCCCCACATGTGTAAGTGTGTTAGTTCCCCAATACTCAGACATCTACACTGCTTCCTGTGAAATGGGGCGGATTTCTAGTCATTTGCATGACTAAGGTCTTTACCTCTGATCATTTCATTCTATTTGTTTATCTATGAATTAATATCAAACCATCAGAACTACTGTAATGTCATGCTTCACTCACAATACTGTTTTTTTCCTTGTCCTGTTTAATTTTAGGTCTTGTTCTTCACACATATTTTCAAACTGATTAACCAAGATTCATGAATGATTTAAAAACAATACTAAATTTGTATACTAATGTAGTGACTGGTATAGCACGCCTTACAAGATGAATTTTTGGAATTAAATAATCTATTTCATGAAAAGGGTATATTACATTTACTTACATATTCTTCAGAATCATTTAATGTTTTAAATTTTTATGTCAAAAATTTTTCATTGTCTTTAAACTTATTTTCATGTAATTTAAATTTGTGTGTTCACAATTTTTTAATAAACTATTTCCTGCTTGTTGCTGAGAAAAAGATTGTAATAATTTCTAATATACCAATCTTTAATCAGAAAATATACTAAGTATTAATTGTATTTACTTGATAATTGTTCTTTTCAGTATATATATATATATATATATATATATATATATATATCTCCATACATAATAACAGATTTATACTTTTATCCCACATTTCTGGGTTTCTGTAAGAACAATTTTGAGACTGTAAACCTGTTATTTTTCTAAGGAAAAAAAAAAAAAAGATCACAGATACCCTGGAATGTTATGATCATAACTGTTATTACCTGAGATGTAAAACTGTTAAAAAGTCAATAAGCAACTGGCTTACTATCAACTATCAATCATTTAAGAAGACTACATTTCTTATTGTGAAAATTCTGCTCCTGCTTGTCAGCATTTTTTTTTTCTTTTGGTCCCTTCTCTGGATACGGCATTTTATAATACTAAAGTATAGATACAAAGATGTTTTTAATTTTATTAAGTTTAAGAGAATGTTAATTTTACTCTGAACCTTGATTCAAAATATATGGAAATATACATATGTAATATTGTGTGTTTGTGGCAGTAAAGCCACATTTCAGATCTCTAAGGCTCATGTCTTGATATGCATCAAGATCCCAAATGAGACAAACAGCATTTATTCTAGGATCCAGCTGGAAACACAGTAATTCATCTGCTTCACTACTGTTCACATCACTGTCATGCAAAGCATCACTCGTAAAGCTCTTTGCATGACAGATGCACAAATGCCCACTCTCTAAACCCAAAATCTCAAAATCACTTTAGTGTTCAGAAGCTTGCAGATCCTTCTGATAGACAGCTAAGACTGAGAAGACAGGATTTGAACCTGTCCCTGGGTTAAATCAGAACTCTGGAGAATTGGGTAAGCTACAGACTTGAGACAAGCAGGTAGTACACTACATATATACACATCACAATTTTGGAGCAAATCGTAGGGTAGAATGTCCTTGGTCTACAGTGAAACACACTACGAAATTATTCCATGTTTATAGTAAGAGCATTACTTACTATAAGCCAGCGTGTTACAAAGTATCTTCCTCATGAAGCTTCCTGGAAGAACTTTTAAGGCTAAGTACACTTTTTTCAGAGAAAATGTAGGCGGTTTGTTTGTTTAACTATATAGGTATCACGAACCATATTCATACAGCTTTTCTTCCCTCACTACAACAAATTTCAGAATCCAGCTTAACTCGTGGCTCATCTGTATACAGGATCTTGTGATGTATCTCTTATGGACAAACTTGCTACTAAAGTTCAACTTTTCTTTTAATTCTCTTTTTCCTTTCATTCAGAATGTTTCTTTCTCTCCTTCTCTTCCTCCCTCCCTCCAAGTGTGTATGTGTTTCTACATAAATAAAGTTTTTTTTCAGGCTTAAATGTAAAAATGTGGAAAAATTACAAGAGTGATATTTATAAGGTCTATTCACACAATAATACTATGCTTGATATTTAAACATGCAAGAGAAAAAAGGAAAGGCTAAGTATATCTAGTAAAAATGAACAAGAAGTATTTCAGTATTTACAATTAAAAAGTATAAGAAAACAGCATTCAGGCCTCAACAATTTCTTGTCAATTTGACAGACATACTGCGTTCTATAAGAAAGAAAACACCCAATTATCAAGAGCATGTTATCTATTTTTTGTGCACAGAGTTTTACTGCAACAGGTACACAAACCTGGCTATGTAGCTATCAGTGAAAGTTTTCCTTTTGTTGGTAAGTACACCTGCTGCAGAATTTCTTGCCAGACTTGGAGGTGTAGTATTTCGAGATTTGATGTTAGCTCTGGAAGAGAGAAAGTGCGAATGTGTTGAATTTAATATTTCTTGATTTATCTTTTTACATTGGAAGAAAAACAGAGGCTGAAGAGAAGTTCAGAGTAATTGCCAAGTAAGCATTTTTAATCTAAAAACAAGCAGAATTAGTAAATATTCATGGTAACTACAACATCACTTTTATAAAGTACCAAACAGATTCAAATATTTCTTGTGCCTCATAAAAAGTTTCTAGGAGCCTAGTTAAAAAGCCTCGTAATTGCTCACTAAATGGACACTGTTAACTGTTGACAGACAACTCTTAAGCAGACGTAACATGAGCATTATTGTTAGCCTAAGAATACCGGATATGGTTAAAATCGGAAAATTTGTTGCTTTAAATGACAATATTCATTTCATGCAAGTTCTTAGAATGACTAAAAATAAATAAAAATTTAATCTCACCAACTGTACAGACTGAAATATCTAATATAAGGGACACTTTAGGAATCAAAAAAGCTTATACATCTGAATTTTGATAGAACATTAGCATGAGAGGATATGAAATTTACATAAATTTAGATTAAAGGTCTACAGTTACTGATCAGGTTTGTATAACAATAGTAACAGTAATGATGACTTGAGCTTCCTCAATGGTAACCTGACCATTTACATTACAAAAAGCTTTTAAGATATAAACTCATATAAAACACAGCACGTTGCTTATGCTACTGCTACTGTTGCTGCTACTACATGGCCACTTTAGTAACTATTACACTAAATACACTTCTGCACTGCATAAGTAAGTTATTTAATTCTAGTAAATAACTTCATGCTAGATGAGATAACAAAGGCAGAGCCCCCGAGTAACTTAAGCAATGTGACTCTACTGATGTGCTGCACAGTCAAGGTTCTGAGGCAGAGGTCCCCTCCTCTTCATTAAGGACTAAGTTTATTTTGCAAACAAACCATTTAACATAAAGGGAAAACAAACTGTAAGAATTCTTTTCACAGTCTTTGACTGCAACTTTTCCTAATCTATTTCTTTACATTGGTAAAGTCAGAAGCACCCTAACAGGTTAAATAACTTGCACACAAGTTGAAACTATTCTTCAAATACTCACTATGCTAAATATGAAGCTACCATTCCTTGCCATGCTGACACTGGATTTGTTTTTGAGATATTATCTGAGCATGCCCAGCTTGGAAAGCCTGTGTTTTGAGAGTGTATAGGCTGCACTGATGTATGTTGCTAGATTAGTACCTGAATGTGAGTGACTAACTCTACAGATTCCACATTCCATACACAGCACTACAATTTAATGGTTGCTCTGAGCAGTTACTTCTTCAGGAATTAAAGAGCACCTTGATGTACTGATGAGATACCAAAGACTCCTTCAAATGGTCCCTAGTCTATCTGTGAGGTTTATTCTATTTTACTTTTATAAAGCAGAACTGGAATCATGCCTAAGTTCATCTCCATAGTAAAGTCAAAGATTGGCATTCAAATAGAATATAGTTTCTTCCCTTTATTTTTTTAAGCTCTGCAAGTATTATTGGATATATTATCACCTTTGTATAGTGTGTCTAAGATACACAGATAAAATATACCTTTAATATATCTATAAATATATTAGATTTTATATGATTAAAATTAAATATATATTTAAAGGAAAATAAGATTATCAACCTAAATAGCTATGGCATTTTATGACTATTGTTTTTTCCAATATGTTCTAAGAGAAGAAATCTGACTGTAAGAGCCATTCTGAAAAGACTGGAAAGAACTAACTATGCTGATCAATTCCTAACATGTTGCTCACATACTCAAATTAACTTTCTTCCTGGTCACAACCTAGTAAGTATTTACCCTAAGTCTATACGTGAAATTTATGTTCGAGAGTTCAAACATATTAAAAAAGACTAATTATGACATCAGACTTCATCTTTTCCTAGACAATCTCCCCTGATATCTATATCAACTCAAGCCTCAGAACACAGTGTCTTTCTTCTACAAATAATCTCTAACTAATGAGAAGCAAAGATGCTGTTAGGATCTTCTCCTGTAACTGTTTTAGAGCATGCCCAGTAAAATTTACCATTACATTTCACGATGAATAATAAGCAGGATGCGCTGTTAACTTTATTAATATTTTTAAAAATTTAAACAGTTATCCACTTGTTACATTGTAATTTCATCATAAAACTGAGGACTAAAATTGATAGATATCAGCAGCCCAAACCTGTGACTCCTGAAATCTCATGCTACTAAGAGTTTCAAGACGAATGCAAGTGCCAGTCTCCTTGGCCATCATGCCAGGACAGAGAGGTCTGTATCCATCTCATACCTCTTCTGTGTGTCAAGTGAGACTGGGACTTATAAACAACCAACAAAGGACTATGGATCCCGGGCCTGCTTCTCTAGGCTTCTTTTCCTCCAGCTATAGCTCATCATCGGTTTGACTATGTAATTTGGTCTACACAAGAATAACTGTTGAAGGTGACTGCCACAATACCTTCTAAAATTAACATTAAACAGAATAAAAGACATGATCAATGTTAACTGGAATAGAAAGTCTTAATAATAACAAAAATGTTCTATGGCTCTGAAGGCCATTTACCACTAAAATGGCTGAAAATGATTAAGGGAAGATTACTTTTACATACAAGGTGAGAGAAGTACAGTATTCTATAACATAAAGCCTGTATGAAATATCTGATAAAGACCAGCTAAACTGCATTATACTTACTTGTAAGTGGGTAATAACTCATGTCTTTTGGAGGCACTGTCTGACTTTTATCACTGTCATACAGCCTTTGCACATGTCTTCCAGTTTGAAGTGGAGGGCCTAACTTGTCCATCTTACTATCAAAATATATAAAGGTGTACCCATAAGGAGACTGCTATGGTCGTTTGCTTCTAAAGAATTATGTAAACATAGGATTATTTTTCCTTAGGAAAAAAAAAAACATTCTTGTTCACTAGAAATCCACCCTCTTCCCTTAGTTCTCTGACTGCCAGGATAAAAGCATGTGTTACAGATCTGGGTTCACATAGTGCCCATCTTTAGACCTGTGAGTTCTGACCATTCGGGTCACCCTGCCAGTTTCCATGCCACCTTTATCCCAAGTAGGGAATAAATCAGGAAACAGCGGTTTGTGTAAAGCTAGACATGTACTTCAGGCTGTCATTCACAAATAACATAATTTTCACTTTTCCTGAACTGGAAGAAGTATTTTTTTTTAATTTTACTTTATTATTTCCCTCACATTTAAAACATATAAAAACTGAATATGTAATGCTTATATATTAATCTTATTTCACTTTCCAATAAATTATGTGTTTATTCTGAAATATAGGGAAAAGGCATAACATGATCTATACTTTAAAAGAGTCATTCTAAACATCACATGTAAAACATTAACCAACCACACCATTGTGTAATCTTTTTAAACCTCAAGTATACAATATCTCCACCTACTGGATACTAAAGCTAACTGCAAGTTTATAGGGCACTTAATTGTTTTACATTAGGAAGCTACAAAGTCTAATTATATACCATCACCAACAAATCCCACTTCACAAGAGAGAACAAGAAACCTAACAAATTACAGAAAGCATCTCAAATGAATGGTAGCAAACATGCTAGCTCATGATTAAAAATACATTTTTGAGCTAGGTGAGGCAGTGCAGGCCTTTAATTCTGGCATTTCAGAGGCAGAAGGATCACTGTGAATTCAAGCCCAACCTAGTCTACATAGTGAATTCTCAGCCAGCCAAAACTACAGTGAGATCTTGTCTCAAATGTATGTGTAAATATATATACAGAATACATATACACATGTATAAATATACATTTTACTCATAAATTTCTTTTAAAGGGATATCTACTTACTTCAGTTGTTTTTTTGTTTTTGTTTTTCATCATTAGGTAACTCAGTAGGATCTAAACATGGATCATGTTTTGTCAGGCACTGCTAATTTGAGAGAACAGAGTAGTGAAGAGAGGAGCTGAGTTCTTAAGGAGGTCAGTATCCAAGAAGGATCTGTTCATCTTTAGACCATCAGGGTCTCTGAGGACTGTTACAGTCTTTTGATGTTCTGTCCTCGCAGCCAGTGAGTGCTCCCAGTATGCATGTGGTGGTATGCACACAGCACAGAGCCTTCAGGAAATGTCTTAAACATAGTTTCTACATGTCTTTGAGGTTAAAACCTATCTCTAATTTATAACAGATCACAGAATCCAATGATTTAAGATCCTAATTCTAATTTCTTTGAATTTCTAACTGTTAAACAACCTTCAGAGCAATACTGTCACAAACACTATATTTAAAAAGGTATCCGTGACTTATGAATAAAGAATATACTCTTCCATCAATGGAGGAATGGATACAGAGACTGTGGTACATTTACACAATGGAATACTACTCAGCAATTAAAAACAAGGACATCATGAAATTTGAAAGCAAATGGTGGGATCTAGAAAAGATCATCCTGATTGAGGTATCCCAGAAGCAGAAAGACACATACAGTATATATTCACTTAGAAATGGGTACTAGACCTATAAGATAGGATAAACATACTAGAATATGTACATCCAAAGAAGATTAACAAGAAAGAGTACCCAGGGTAAGATGATCAATCCTCACTTACAAAGACAAATGGGGTGGACATTGGAAGTAGGAGAAAACAAGTAACAGGACAGGAGCCTACCGCAGAGGGCCTCTGAAAGACTCTACATAGCAGTTTATCAAAGCAGATGCTGAGACCCATAACCAAACCTTAGGCAGAGTGCAGGGAATCATATGAAAGAAGGGGAGTTAATATGACCTGGAGAGGACAGGAGCTCCACAAGGACCAAATATATCTGGGCACAGGGGTCTTTTCTGAGGCTGTTTCTCCATCCAAGGACCATGCATGGATATAACCTAGAACCTCTGCTCGGGTGTAGCCCATAGGAGCTCAGTGTCCAAGTGGGTACCCTAGTAAGGGGAACAGGGACTGTTCTTGACAGGAACTCAATTGCTGG